TTTGAAACAATGCCTTTCGGGTTAGCCAATGCCCCCGACACGTTCCAGCGACTGATGTCCACGGTATTGAATGACTTGGTTCCCGGTAAATGTCTAGTCTACCTCGACGACGTTATTGTCCATGGTCGCACTCCGGAGGAACATTTGAACAACCTCGAGGACGTAGTCTCGGCGATCGGTGCTGCTGGGCTAAGGCTGAAACCGGAAAAATGTGTGCTTCTCCAAAAGGAAGTTAAATATCTGGGACATATAATCAGCGAGGAAGGTATCCGCAGTAATCCCGAGAAAATCGGAGCAATCGAACAGGTGGCCGATTCTCAAGTCAACGGAAGAAGTGAGACGATTTCTCGGGCTCACCTCCTACTACCGCCGTTTCGTTCAAGGATACGCCAAAATTGCCTCCCCACTGCATCGCCTAACAGAGAAGGACCGAAAATTCCAGTGGAGCAGCGAATGTCAGGGAGCGTTCGATCAGTTACGAAAAGAAGCTCATCGAGGCACTAATCCTGGGCTTCCCGGATTTAACCGAGCCGGCAGGAATTTTCCTATTAGACACAGATGCAAGTGACACTAGTATCGGTGCTGTGCTTTCCCAGAAGACGAACGACGGCCTGGAAAAGGTGATTGCTCACGCAGTTGGTGTCTGGCAAAACTAGAAAGGAACTACTGTACCACGCGGAAAGAAATGCTCGCTTTGGTGACCTTCATCAAACAATTCAGGCAATTAGTAATAATAATAATAGGTGTATATTTCACGGAGCCCTTGAGACATGCACAAGGCATGATCAAATGATCAGAGCGAGCATATGTACAATAACGGTAAGTACATATGTAGACAATAAAAATGGTGGGGATCAGAACGAAAACACAGTGTGAAAGGAACACAAACCGGACAAGGTCACCGACGAATTTATGGAAGATGGAGGATGCATTGAAAATGCATGTCACTAGAACTGGAAGTAATAGTAAAACTGGTCTCGGAAGGATTGGACGTACGACAACAGTGCGGGGAAATACGGAGAGGCGATCTGTGGAACAAATGCTGCCTGATGGTAGAGGCATGAGGATAGGAACAGAAAGGAAGGAATACAGTCAGAATAATACGTCGGTAAAGGAACATGTTTCACTTTATGCTGAAATACAACTCGCTTCTGGAGACAAGTTCATTGAGTTCGGGGCTTCAATCGATCAAGGAATGATTTGGATTATTTAGATTAATTGAACGTTGGTCACTTTGATGTGGGACTGATTACACGCTGGACACCGAACCTTAAAACACCTTTTAGGTGAGGCAGGGGGTGTGATCCTCAACC